TTGTGATTTTTATCGCGGTGAGACTGAATACCTCGTTTTAAAGTCGACGGGATATATAGAAATGAATTAGCTAGACACAAACTATGCCAACGGCATACTGTTCGGTATAAGTTGTTAAAATCTGACAATCCACATGTGATTGTTAGAATTTGTATTTTAATGTAAACACACATGCAGTTTTAACTTTGACTTGTTTTCAGTATATGAGAAAAGAGCCCAATTTAATGCAAAGAATCTGCATGCTTACAGTGAACTGAGTAACAGGAACTTAAAGAAAACATAAAATTGCGGCTGTTTTATAAGCGTTTCACTCTCAGGGGGTTATCTTCAGCGATCGCCTGTTCATTTTATGCGTGATAGGTTATCAAAATAATCGCACATGTGAAGTGATTTTCAAACACTCTTTACGCATGTGTTAATTATTGTATATTCTATTTACTAGAGCTAAACAAATTAATAGCCAATTGAAATTCAAAGAAATTCACAGCTTTAAGAGAACAGCAGCACCCGTGCAATTGAAAAATTATAAAACCATAAGGACATGGTAAATCTAAGATCACTTGCAAACGTTGGTTTTGTCCGATCTTTACTTTACTTTACTTACTATACTATAGGATTCTATTAAAACGCCATTGGCATCTGTTGTTTATTGTGCCAAACCTGTATTATACAGACAGTGTGAAATCTACGGGTAATTTTTTATTCGCCTTTACTTCTCATGAATTCTCATAAACAGAGACACATTTCATAATGGATTTAGGAGGATTCCTAAAGTACCGATCGCTATTCCTAGATCGAAGCAGGACATTTTCTGTAAGTAAAACCGACTTGCGTGATGGTGACCACATTACGTACTAAGTCTCTGATAGTCCACACAGTTATCAGTCAATATTCTTGATGCGCTCACTGGCTGTTAACCAAAATATAGATGTCTTTTACTTATGTATGATAATGCTTGTTTATATTATATTCCCGTAGATGACATAAATCTCAAGAGAGTTCCAGAGAACAAAATCAGGCGTAACCTGAGGAGCCTTGACGAGAGGGACATCCAAAGTCTGCAGACGGCATTCCATGATCTTCAGGAAGACACCAGCAAAGATGGATTTGCACATCTGGCATCCTTCCATGGAGCTCCCGCTCGTTGTCCAGATCCGGACCACCCACAAGTAGCGTGCTGTCAACACGGCATGCCGACGTTCGCTCACTGGCATCGTCTTTTTACGCTGCAGGTACACAATGATTCATCTTCTTTAGCCTTTTCTCTCTGCCAGGGAGATATAGACGACATCGCCAACCGAGTGCCGATTTGTCAACAAAATAAACGTCTAGCCCTGCGTGACCAGTATGCATGAAGACATGGACATATATCATTTCTTTTCTCTAGTCCTGCTCTAACTTTCAACTTCAGGTTTTGAAGAGTCACCCCGTGCGAGCTTTGTATGTGCTAGATAGCTGCTGGTATTCACCCCCTCAGAGGTTTTACCCAAATATTGTTTGCGTTGATGACCTCTAACTGTGCTTGCGCTGCGTCTAATAGTAAAAAGTAAAGTAAAGATCCCTTTTCACGCCTTACGGCGCATCGGGCATATGGGAAGAGCAACCATATTTTACATACCAACCGGCCGTCTTTACTTCCCCATGACAGCCATCCTGGTACCTATTTGAGGCTGGGTCGACCTGCAACGTCCCATACCACAATAAAAATCCACGCAGCCCGCAGTGGGTTTCGATCGCGGTACGTTGGATTACGAGTCGGACTCCCAACGCCTTAGCCACGGACGCTGCTGCGTCTAATAGACAGGGATTTATTTCTCTTTCTCAACTTGACACAAGTTGTTTTCTGTAAAGGTAATCTGGTAATCTTAGTTTCAGCTTCATAGCTAACGGGTCACCCTATAGTTGCTCCGCTCCTGTCCAACGAAAAACACACAGCATGTTTATCAAAGTCACTTGTGGAAAGATTGACAGACTGCTGTCTCAGCATGTCTAGCATACACACGCATAAAAAGCGAACGTTGCCATCCGAAGTGCTAATACAAACAGTCCGGCATTAAAAAGTGAAATTCGCAGCTAACAGTGTCACGACATGCACTTAACTCAGAAGCTGGACGACGAAACTATATCTTTTCCTGTCCACAAATGGAACAAAAATGCAATGGCCACCGTCTGACAGAAGCAAAAAAATTGCCATGGATCGACAGGAAGTCGTATTTTATGCAAAAAACAGTGTCTCGAGTATAACGGCACTACGTCGAGTATGTTATTGAGGTTGAGGCAGTAATGACAGTTTCCAGAAGCTCGATAGCAGCCCACTGCAACTGTTGGAAATGTAACGGACTCACAGTGCATGCTTCGGAAAACTGAACTTGTGTCCTGTCAGGTGTTCTGGCTAGCATCTCTTGATAAGGCTCAGATCAGGAGCATATCACCGGTTTTCTGTTCTAGACGATATGTAGGTATGCGAGGTAACGAGCAGGCTGATAGATTAGCTGCTGGCGCTGCTCTGTTCGACGAGCGACTTTATGATCAAGCGGAAGTGGTGAAGGATCGTTGGGATGAAATGGACAGTGCAATAAAACAGTAAGAAAATACATATATTGAAAGGATAATTCATCGGATCGGGGGGGGGGGGGGGGGGGGAGAGGGGAATTAAAAAGGGGTGGGGTGAGTAGAGGATCTGGATGAGGGGCGAGCATGAGTTCACTTTTAATCTAGTTGCATTTGGTACTCTTAGGATCTCGACTTTTCGTTGGCTCCTGAAGAAGGGAACGGAGCATGTGTGGGAATGTCGCGAGTTGAGTGATGTCATTTCTTGATGCACTTCTTTTGTGTCCTCTGTTTTTAAGGATTGTTTACAATTCCACAGATATCCGTTATTTATGTTAAAACTACGAAAGTTAGAGAGACACGATGCCCATGTCACTTAACGAAAGTCTCGGAGAAATTCATACATTCTTGCATTAGATTTTTCAAATGTTGACATCAATTCAGTTGACTCTCTATCATATTCCAAAGGTTGAACAGGCACTTCAGGATCACGGAAGTGCCATAGCCATCCCTTACTGGGACTGGACATTGTATAGCGATGAACTGCCCCGGATTTTCACAGAAGTTGACTATTACGACGTGTGGAAAGATGAAGTAAGTCTTCTGTTTAAATATATTTTCTCTACAATATTTACCAACCCTAAAATAGGTATCAGGTCGTATCCTGGGAAGTAAAGACGGCCGGCTTGAGGCTGACCACGTCACCTACATTGTGACTATTAATCTATAAAAATATTAGCGAATCATCATATACTTTTTGTGCCACTAGCATAATATGGATCCCTTATATTACATTTTTGTAAACGCTTCTTCATCAAATTTTACCAGGTTTAATTTAAACAGAAATGCATTCTAAAATGTGTGATGCAAGGGAAATAGTTCTAATGGTAGTGTGTGTTGTTTAGGGTGTTCGTGAAGTCACACTACACTTGTATATAGGACAAATCTGTAAAAACGGATACACGACTTCATAAACTAATGTGCTCAAAAACAGAAGACATTACATTGGTTAAATAGTCACTGCTATGGTCTAAGAGTTTTTTTTTGGGGTAAGCTGGGAAGTACCAATGAAATAGTCATTATAACAGATGCTGGCTTAAAGAAATGACTGTACAGGCCTCTTCATATTGTTAAATACCTTGTACAATGTATTTATTATTATTTCTTGAATGGTAACTTTGATTGCTTCTGTTGACATCACCAGTGTGTTTTGAGTGCAAAGAATGACACCAGCAGACTACAGCCATTCATTGCATATTGCTTCGCGTTTGACTGCGCACATTTGTTCTACATACAAAGTGTAGTGAGACTTTACAAACACCCTGTATTTCTCGCTATGTAAAATCCTACATAAAAGTAACATTTTAAAAACCTTAGATCATTATTGATAATCAAATTGCTGTTTTTTTTTTTTTTTTTTAGTTCAATCGGATTATTAAATAATGAATTGAAACTGATTTTAGTTCATGTGAAGGAATTACACTTTTCAGTTTAAGCTGTTGTTCACAATTAGTGTTTTGTCTGTCTGTTACTAATTAATTATTTATTATCCTGTGTCCTATTGTTGTCATGGAGTTACTTATCGTAGTCTCAGCCAATGATTAATAACTGATTCATGTGTAAGGACAAGCTCGCTTACGGAATTCATTTAAACAAATGTATAGGAGATGTATTAAAAGTCTATGGCTAGGCACCATCAAGGGAATCACAGCCGCGTTAGCGCAGTCAATAGGAGACTTGCTTTCAAATCTAGCGGCGTCTCGCTGCAGCCCACGACCGGTGTTCGAATATGAGAAATCAAGAAAGAAAAATTTCAAGTTGAAACATTGAGGCTTTTAGATGGTAATGTAAAAAGTAATTTGTGTAATTTTGTGAATTTATTCTTTTTTATTCATTTGAAATTTTAACGGAAAAATATTTCCATTATCTGTACAATGAAAAGCTTCTATATTTTAAAGTCGCCTTACATTTGCTTTATATATCTTAGGGCGTCCTGAAGTTTAGAAGGGACCTTAAATCTAGCAGTCATAATTAAACACTTCGAGAATAATATTACACTTACATGTGCATTGCACAATGACATAATTGCAAGACAGTATTACCACTGTATATGTAATGCAACATTTATAATTAAATAAATGTTGCAGTTAAAACGTGTACCTTCCATACATATGTAATTTCACGCATACATACGTTATGCTTTAGATAGTGTTATATTGTGCTTCTGGGAGGCGTCAGAACCACAGCGTTTGATGAGGCCTAAGGCGACTAGCAAGACCTGCTCGTGTTAAATTTTCCATTTTCAGAGCATATAATTGCAGCACTTTTGTTGCCAATTCTCGTCTTTAATGTGCCTCTTCTAGACAGCTGGTGTCTTAACCTTTCTACAATTTTCTTTTATCCTTATTCCTGTTAACTGAAACTTTTTTTTTTTTTTAATCACAACTCAGGTCCAATTTGAAGTGCTCCACAACTCCATCCACTACCTCGTTGGAGGCGAACAGAAATACTCCTTGTCCTCCCTGGAGTATTCCGCCTATGATCCCATCTTCTACATTCACCACTCCTTCACAGACAAGATATGGATCGTCTGGCAGAAACTGCAGCAGAGGAGACACTTGCCCTACAACCGAGCCGACTGTGCTGTTAACTCCATGAACGAGCCCATGAAACCGTTCAGCTTTGAAGGATTCAACACGAATAAGTTTACCAGGTGAGCGCAAATTATTAATTACCTGTTTTCAGAAATCATCATCTTAACACACCGAGCATACACAAAGAAATCCTGTATTTCACTTTGCCCCAATATGGGAAGAGAATTTCTTGTTATTTTAAAGCCTTATCCCGGCTGTCGTCGGTGGCAGTAATATAACCTAACGGTTGAACAAGGCTTCTGGAAATTAGGTCTGTGTGATTCTCATCCGAATGGTGGCACTTTCTGTCACAGAGTGTTTGTTGCTCGTTGTGTGGTCCTGGTGGAGTTGAACATCACTCGTAGACGCCCTGTCTCACACAGCAAACGTTTTAGGAGGAAGAAGAAGCATGGCGTAGAGCAGAAAGAGGGAGGAGGAGGAGAAGGATGAGGGAGGAGGGGAAGAAGAATGAGGAGGAAGAGGAAGGAGGATGAAGAGGAAGAAGGAGGATTCAGAGAAGAAGACTGGTACAGATGTGCAATTTCTAGTCATGCATAGTGCTTACGATGAGACCATAGTTTAACTGTGTTTCCTTTTTTTTTTTTTCCCCCAGAGAACACGCAGATCCCAGCTCGGTATTTGATCATGAAGACCTCGGCTACGGGTACGATAACCTTGACATTGGTGGCTACTCGATTGAAGAGCTGGAGCATCTCATTGAAGAGAAGCGAAACCACTCCCGACTTTTTGCGGGCTTTTTGTTGAAGGGCATCAAGACGTCAGCAGTCATCACCATCACAGCTTGCGTTGTAAGTGTTGTTGTGGAAAGATATAAAACCTAACGGAAAATAGATGAGTTAGCTTTACATTATAACAAACACAAACGGAACTTGAACGTTGCGGCTATAGAGCCTTCATCAGCACAAACATGAATCAAACAAAGCCACAAGAATATACACAATCACTTAGCTGACGCATCCCGAAGCAGCCACGTTGATGTCTAGCTAGTGAAATGAAGAGACACGTGAAGCCCTTAGAACAAATAGCCCGCCTTAGGCCCTTGCGACCCTCCCCCCCCCCACCCCTATAAATATTTAAACGTGATTGCACCCATCCCCATACTTTCCTTGGTTCAGCGACTCAGCCAGTAACTATACCACCGCTATAGCGGCAGTGGAATCCTGGTGATCAGGCACTTTGAAGCCACCCCCCCCCCCCACCCTTTTCCCCCCTTGGCCTGGAAATATAGTGGCCCTCCCTAACCAGGTATACTGTATTGTCGTTCCCTTTTCAAGTAATTGTTTGTACGTTTATTTAATATTTATTTATTTAATAATTATTATTTATTAAAATAATAAAAACAACAATTAAACTTAAAGTAATAATAATAACTCTACAGTTAACAATACTTAAGGGCCCTTAAACCGTTTACCCCATATAATATTATAGGGGCGGAGGGTTTTAGATGCTTACGTCTTGTTCAATTGCCCAATTGTTATATTTATTTTTTATATTATCAATGTTATTATTGTTATTATTATTAATAATAATATTATTATTATTACTATTATTATTAATATTATTGTCCAAATAAAAAAGTTAACTAACACATTTTATTTCCTAATGATCGCAAATGATCTCCCCCACCACCACACCCCTTTATTGGCAATGAGAGGCGAAGATAAAGCGTCCCCCCCCCCTCTCTTTACATTTTTTCTATGGTGGCGCCCCTGCAGCACAGTGCTAATGACACAGTCTAATATTTGATGAACCTCACTTGTTGGTTTGTCCTAACTCAGGCTGGAGGCAACTGCACGTTTGCAGGACGCTTCAGTATTCTGGGTGGTCCTCTGGAATCACCTTGGGCCTATGATCGCCTGCACAAGAGGGACATCACCAGGTTTTTTGCAGCTCTGAACGTCAAGCCAGAAGATGTTTTTGAACCCAATGTCCGCGTCTACTTGAAGATTGAAGTAAAGGACGTCGAAGGGCATGTCTTGAGTCCATCGAGTGTCATACCAACTCCGACCATCATTTATGAACCCCGCCATGGTGAGTATTTGTTCTTTTTCTACTGTTGTCGTCTCACTGATAACAGATTGTAGCCCAGTGTCGTGGTTTTCTGTATTTGTCTTGCTCTTCTGGGGTGGCGTGTGTGATGGATTTGTTTATCTTTTTGCAAGTTTCAGCTACACTAATAATCCAGTTAAGTGTTAATTATGCCAAATTCGAAAGTTTGCCTAAGATTCCATTTTGATTATTCGGCGCAACCTGTATTTCTAAGTATCTTGTCAGGTGTATACTGCCAAAACAGATGAATTAAATTAGAAAAATAAACGAATCTTTTAAGATGGAAACACAAATTTATAAAGATACTCAGAAGTAACTGCCTGGTTTGCTTCACAGCCGGAGTGCATCTGCTTGAACATGGAGGAACAAACAATCTGCATTCTAAAAAAAAAAAAAAACATTTAGTTGTATAAAACAGACGTGCATGCACACTCAAGACCAAAGTTCAGAAGTAAACAAACAACCAGAACTTTCTGCCGGAGTTCACAGTCGGTGAACGCAAAAAAGACCAAGGCATGAGCAGGTTCATGGCCGGTTATAAATCTATAAATTATTTATTATGACCATAACAAAAATGCGAACGCTTCGTAATGCCTAGAAAAACCACACAGCAGCTAGGGGCTGTTAGGGTTGGTTCTGCATCGTCCTGTAAAGGATACGCAACTAACCTATATATATATATATATATATATATATATATATATATATATATATATATATATATACGGCCTCAAGGGTTCCTCCTCTGTTTATTTGTGTTGTTTACAGTGTGGCCGGAGTTGAAAAGTTGAACTCTGCATTGAATCCCAACGTGCTGTGTCTCCTGTCTTGGTTGTACCACTCCTAGCTATAGTGGGCCGTGGTTTTACACTCTCTCTGCTGTTTGTCCGGCTCTTAATGTTGCCCTCCCTTCTGTATCATTGTCTACCTTTTGATCTCTTTCCTACCTTTCCCTCCACTATATTTAAAAAAAAAATGATTACATTTCGTGTGACCAAAATATTTCAATCCGCTCTTATTATTTATATCAACAATCCTCTTTTTGTCGGCGTCTGTCACTTAGGTGTTGCGAACGCCCTTCGTAGTGTCGGGTTGCCGGGTTTGATCCCTGCTGCGGCCAGTTTGTCTTACGATGGTTTCGACCGTGATACCGACAGCCGACCGTCTAGAGGGCAATGGCAAACTACTGGAGCTAAATTTGCCTAGAAAAACCACAACAGCCAGAAAGTGCTGGGGTTGGTTTTGCAACGTTCTGTAAAGGATACGCAACTAATTTAATTAATACTCTTTTCAGTCGCAGTCTTTCCAGATTTCCCGTGTTTGATGTTTTGTTATCATCTAATACGACCTATTCTTCTTATATCCACACTTCCATTGACTCAGTTTGATTTACAGTGGCATCATTTATTACAAAAGAATTAGGACAAAAAACAACAACAATTAACAAACAAACAAAGAACACAGCAGACAACAACAAACGGGCATAAATCCTGTACAGTAACGGTTCTCAACCTGTAGGTCGCGACCCTTTTTCTGAGAGTCAAACGAAGTTAGGAAGGAAAATAGCTGTTTGGGGGAACTGAGAAAACAGTATTTAAGGGTCGCTGCATTAGGAAAGTTGAGAGCGACTGCTCGACAGTGCTATTTTAAATCTTACCTGGAATAATCTGTATTTTTTGTATTGTTTCAGAGCCTACACGACGAGACAAGGCGAGATCCGTATCTGGTGACAGCGTCCGAAAGAACGTTCTCTCTTTGACAAAAGCAGAGAAAGCCAGTCTTCGCCAAGCCCTCCGTGAACTGCAGGACGACGAGGGCCCTAACGGCTTCGCGGTATGTTTTATCTGTGTACATTGTTGTTACCAATATTTTAGTGATTAACTGCTTCTTGTTAAAAATGTGAAGCTTCTTTCATACTCTGGCATACGTAATGTCTACAGCAGTGTTATTCAACCAGTGGTCTCACAAAAATTGAAGCGATGTTATTGCAACAGTTCTTTTATCAGAAACAACGCTCCAGCCATGTATAAAGGATTTTCTCACATCTTAACAGCGGCAGATGTCGCATTAACTAAAAAATTGTAATGTTGTGACGTTGGATTTAGAAACGAAACTGCTATCAATATTTGTCTTATATTTTTATGTTGTTAGTTAGCTGTCACGTGGTCCACGAGGAAACAAATTCCCCTTTACTATTCTGTGTATGTAAACACGTTCAACAACATTTTTTTTCAAGTAACGTAAATTACCCTGTTCCCCGCCTTTAGACGTATTGGGCATATAAAGCTAGGCCTAAACTTATAAACAAATCGCCACTCGGTGAGTGATGTGGTAAATATTATGCCGGCCGCCTTTACCTCCCAGGACTTTACATGGTACCCATTCAAGGTTGGGTCGACATGGAAGCCAAGGTCATTTTTTTTTAAAACAAGTTTGGTTCAGTCAGGAACTAAGCCCACGACTTTCAGGTCAACGGGCTTTTATACTTATTACGATAATCGTTACCCGCAACCTTTATGAAGTGAACATTGAACAAAATGCTGTTGAATGGCACCATTTTTCAGAAACTGAAATACCTCGACAGTATTAAGCGACGCAGTGGTTGAAGAGAAGAGTATAGAAGACTATGGTCAGAGAAAGTACAGGTCACAGGCGATCATTAAGATGGTGAACACTAGACATGAATGATGCATAGGGTATGAAAGTTCACGAGGTATGAAAGTTCACGAGGTATGAAAGTTCACGATGTATGAAAGTTCACGAGGTTGAAAGTTCACGAGGTATGAAAGTTCACGAGGTATGAAAGTTCACGATGTATGAAAGTTCACGAAAAATGAAAGTGATAATAGGTCATGCAGCTTTCTAGTGTCCTCTGATATGGGCAACGTTCATTAGGTTATCTGCTGAACAGTGACATTATTTATATAGATCATCATGCTTTTATACTGACTAAGAAAAACTCTAGACGAACGTTGATGAGAGAGACCAAAGATGCTGGGCTGGATTGCCTCCATGATATCGAAAGGATTACTTAGAAGAGAATGGAACTTAAGAATAACTGTGAGTGCTATAGGATGTGAAATTATAAAATACGATTCTGATAACAGCAATGATGGTGGTGGCGGTGGTGGTGTTGGTGATGGTGGTGGTGGTGTTGGTGGTGATGATGGTGGTGGTGGTGGTGGTTGTGGTGGTGGTGGTGGTGGTGGTGGTGGTGGTGATGGTGGTGGTGGTGATGATTGTGCTGAATAGTGATGAAATTTGTGTACATTGACATGACAGTGCGTTTGTCTAATGTTGCCAAACAGGTACTGGCCAGCTTTCATGGCAGTCCACCCAGATGCGAACATGACCATCGTCCCGTCGCTTGCTGTCTGCACGGACAGGCCAACTTCCCTGAGTGGCACAGACTGTACGTTAAACAGTGGGAGGATGCACTTATTGCACACGTGAGAAATCTTTATCTTTTGTATTTGTTTTATGTAAACAACAAGAAGCTGTTAAACAGTATTTCAACAGAAATCCTCATTTCACATTGCAAGATTCAGTCAATAGGTGTGTGGATCCCTCCTGAGTAAATTCCACAGGGTGTAATTGCCGACGACTCCAGTTTTCTGTTGGCATATTAATATTCTTCGACCTCCTAAACGGTGCTCTTGTCGTTCTATCCTTCGTTATCGCATGCAGTTCTTCCCACTATTTTAACTACACCCTTTAGCTACCTTCTCCACGATTTTTTGGGGTCTTTTTTATTTCTATGCCCTTGTGGGTTCCAGTGCAAAGATATTTTAGTTTTATCGTTCTCGTGTTTTCTCAAAGTGTCATATCCAACGCCAACGTCTTCCCTTCATCTCTTGGTCCACGAGAAGTTGTTTAATTCTCTCCCAAAGGTCCACATTAGTAATTCTATCATACCATTTCATTCCCTCTATTCTGCTCAGCACCAGTTAATCAATGTTTGTAGTTATTACCTTCGTGAGTGAGTGACTTTCTACCCCACCAGGACATCACACAAGCGATAAACACCCGATGACACAACGTGCCACCATGTGGATGAGGATCACCGTGAAGAGGTCCCAGAAACCGCGTTCAGACATTTGGCCATTTTTATGGCCTGCCTATATTGCGGCCCCTGGCAAAAGCCAGAGTGGGGCTTCAAATAACAAAAAATTACATCCTAAAAAGGACGTAAGGACTTACACAACTATTTTTACCTTCGTTGTTCTTCATGTCTCCGCTTCATACAACAGTTCTGATTGGACATTAGAACTAAAATTGTAAGTTTAGTAATAGTTTTAATTCACTCTGACCTACACAAATTCCCTGGTGCTATAAAAGCTATTCTTGTTTTTAGTATTCGTATTTTAATATCAATATTGTCCTTCAACCCATTTGTTTTCTTATATTTGTACAGGGCTCTGAGACTGGTATTCCTTATTGGGACTGGACCACAGTCTTCCAGGAACTGCCAGCTCTAGTGACTGAAGAGGGAGATAACCCCTTCCACCACGGACACATCTACAATGGAGAAAATACAACAAGAAGCCCTAGAGACAGACTGTTCAATCCTCCAGAGTCTGGGTCAGAGTCATTCTTCTACAACCAAGTTCTGCTGGCTTTTGAACAGACAGACTACTGCGACTTTGAGGTGAGCCTGTCTTATATATGTTTTTGGTAGCTTCGGTAACATCTTGATGTAGTCACAGATTCGATGGGCAGGTCACCTCGTCCATTTGCAAGACAAACGACTCCCAAAAATAATCCTCTTTGGTGAGATAAAAGAAGATACGTGCTCACATGGTGGCCGGGAAAGAAGAAAAAAACGGCAAGGACAGGCTAAAGGTATCACATAAAGCCTTCAATATAAACCCTTACACCTTGGTGGCTGCGGTGCAAGTCCTGGCTGTATGGCGAACGTCTATTGGAGGAGGCTCAGCGAATGGTGAGGTTTCTATAAAAAGGACAGCTGAACAGCACAGACAGATTAGAAAGTCTCGTATAACAAGCCCTTTATCTAGATATGCGGTTTTGTGTTCTCACTGTCCTACACCCTTTGGGGCCCATGGAGGATACATATGTTTTCTCCGGACTCACAGACAATCAATCATAGTTTCAGGACGGATGAAAGAAAGAGTGGTGCTCATCACATATGAGGGATGCTCAACATTTTGGTAGCGGGGCGGCGAAACGCTTGTCTGCGGGACCGAAGATCTTGGTTTCAAATCTTTTTTAAATTTAGTTTCAATAGGTGACCTTGTCTCACAGATTGAACAGCATAATTTGGATTCTAGAAAATGACCTTCAAAGTAATGATGGCCTGGAAAACGTTGATTACAAAACCCACAGAGTGACGATTGGTCTTTAAAATATTGATCTAGCACCATAGATTCGCTGCCAATTCCATGAATAGCGTTATTTCTTTATTAGTAATCAATGTAATCCGTTACAACGTCAAAATAAACGGCTGATCCCATAGCTGCTTAGTTTCTGTGTCAATAAAACAGGATGCTCATCATAGTCCCTTGTGAGCTAATTGACTCCGACTGCAGACTCCACAAGCACACACACACAAATTAAATGCATAATGTAGCCTTTGGAATTGCAAACCCAACCCGTCTGGCACTAAATAATGCTGCTCGCCAGTTACAACAAATCAGTAGTTGCGTACGCAGTTAATCGCGTGAGGCACCGCCAGTTCTGTAACAACACTTGACTCGCAGTATCCCAGTCTGCAATTCACAATACTAACCAAGTCGGGCCCAATCGAATAGCATTCCAAGTGGACATCCGGTCGCTTGGTGCACTCAGTAGCAAGGCAACGGAACTTTATACTTTTAGTTCAGGATGAGGCAAAATACAACGGCTACCTACTCGCATTGTCAGAAGCAAAAATACTACCACTAAAATCAGTACGCCGCCTATCCGCCATATTTGACAGCCTCGTCAACCTATTAAATTATATATAAACACTTGTATGAGCCAGTCACTAACAAACATTATGCATTGTTTCTTATTTTCTAGGGTGTGCCATTTTCCCTTAGGTCTTAAAGATCTGCATGTGTCCACGACTTTTAGATTCTACATTTGAATTACCTATCTTTAAATTTGGTACCTCTGTTTTATGGTTATGGCGTTCTTTCATATATATTTTACAGGTACAGTATGAGATTACCCACAACGCTATCCACTCATGGACTGGTGGTCAGTCTCCCTATGGCATGTCCACTCTTGAGTACACTGCCTACGACCCACTCTTCCTGCTCCACCACTCCAACGTGGACCGTCAGTTCGCCATATGGCAAGCCCTGCAGAAGTTTAGAGGTCTGCCATACAACAGTGCCAACTGTGCCATACAACTCCTGCATCAGCCGATGAGGCCCTTCAGCGATGAGACTAATGTGGACTCCATCACTCGGTCCCATTCTACTGCCACCGAAGCTTTCGATTACGAACAGTAAGATTATTTTTCAAATATTTCGATCAATCAATCAGTCAGTCAATCGTCGATCAGTCGGTACCGGTTCAACACTAAATATTGGCTGTAATGGATCTATAACGGTATCTGTCTTCCCCGTATGGGTTCCAGGGCCCAACTGTGGGCAGAACAAGAATAGACCCACTACCTCCCGAAGAAACATGTCGTAACAGTCGTCGTAAACAGTCGACTAAATGGGGGGTATAGGGGGGGGGGGGGTTTCCTTCGATGTCTTAGTGCATCTGCAGGTCTGGAACAAGTCCTATATCCAGAAGTGGATGAACAACAGTTACTTTCCACCAGAGTTTACAGCTGGTGAATGCAAAAAAGAAGTTATCTGCCTCTGGTCTCAGTTGTA